CCCAAACTGTAACCTCTTCACCTTGAAAGCCCCACGATGGGTGACAATAGTTTGGGCCTCAGCTGCTGCATCATCAACAGGCAGCTGTTGATATGCTTGAGCCAGATCAAGCTTAGCAAAAAATTTTCCCTCCTTGAGAGAAGCCAGAATGTGGCTCACTACAGGCACAGGATAAGCATGTTGCTGTAGGGCCTTGTTTGGTGTGCACTTGTAGTCAGCACAAATCCGGATGTCCCCGCTTGCCTTTAAAGGCGTTACAATGGGGGTTTCCCACGGGCTGGAATCTACAGGCTCTAGAATGCCTTGCTGGAGCAACTTGTTCAGTTCAGCGTCAATCTTACTCTTAAGAGCAAATGGTACTCTCCTAGGTTTAACCCTGATGGGCTGTACCGTTGGATCTAGCTTTAGTGAAACTGGAGGTCCTGTGTAGGACCCTAGTGTCACACCGTCCGTTGACGACTGAGCAAAACCCAAAACGCAGGTACGGTGTGCATTCAGTTGAAGTTTATTCGGTCTGAAACAAAGTCAGCACTGGGAGTGGCTTGCTCCCAGTGCTGTAAATAGAGGTGCCACGCCCCAACCTCCCGCCCCCAGCCACAAGCCAGCATCCGCCCTGCCCTGATTAAAGTTCCTTCAGTCCAACCCCGCCCCTCCCCAGAGTCCGTCATGCCCCACTGCCTCGCCTGGTCTTCCTTCCCAGCCGCTCCCTGGCCGCCAAAGTCCCGGGCCGGTTCCCACGGATGCTCCGGCGTTGCAGCTCCACCGCGGTGTGTAACAGCTGGCTGGCGCGACCCCTCCCCCACCGCAGCCTTCCTGGCCTGGCCCAGCCCGGTTACGGCGTTCTCGGCCCCTCCGGCGCTGTCGGTGACGACCCGGCCTTGCGCAGCGTCACCCGGCTCCGCCCCATCGTACGGCGCCTCCAGCACCCCTCCGCCGGCTGTCTTCGGCGGTTCGGGTTGCTTTGGCTCTGGCGCGACGGCGGAGAGCAGGCAGGAGGGGGAGGAGTTGCTGCTGGATCCCCGGCGGCGAGGCGCGCGGGCCGCTGGGCTTCCGGGTATGTGCTGGGCCGCGGCGGGCGGTTTCGGCGGCGTTTCGGTGGGGCGGGCGGCGGCGGCGGCTGGCGTTTTGGTGGGGCGGGCGGCGGCGGCGGCTGGCCTCCCCGGGCGGGCTCCCACACCCCGCCAGCGGATGGCACGCCTGGTGGGGCGTGACACCTAGTTCAGAACTGAACACATCTGCAAACTCCTTGCATACGTCTGCAAGGGTCTCTGTTTGCAACTTATGTAGCCCTGTTACTTGTATTCCCAAGGCCTCAAACCAATCGAGTCCAATGAGACTCGTTTGCTCACCCCCCACAACCAACACGTCTAGGGGGCCTGCAAAATTCTTATACTGTACCTTAAGGGTGGCCTCCCCCTTAACGCACACTTGAGAATTTTGGAAATCCGTAAGGATTACATTAGAAGGCCTTAACGAAACTTGCTGGCCACTGCTGCTGCAGATTTTGTGAAATGTGTTGAGGGAAATTATGGATAGGGCAGACCCCATGTCAAGTTCCATCGACAATGGAACTCCCTGCAATTTCACTTTAAGAGATAGTTTCTTTTTAAGGGGTTTGTGTGTGCCTATTCTTAAAATGTTCCGGCGTGTTGCACAGAACCCCACCCTGTTTTGACTGGGCACCCTGTTACCTTTCAGATTCAATTCTTCCTTCGGTTGTACCTTCTGTCGACCCAGGCAGACCGCAGCGATGTGGCCTTTCTTCCCGCACGCTCGGCAAATGGCAGAACGGAACCGACATTCCGCTCGCTTGTGGCGTCCACCGCATCTGAGGCAACGAAGCTCAGCTGGGCCCTTGTCCTGACGATCTTTGGACCTCCTCCCAGCTGCTTGGTAAAGCTTGTCCACCTCTTCTTCAGGATCTTCTTCCGAATCCTCTCGCATGTCTTCCTTGTGGATGGTGGCGGTTTCTGGAGCGCTTCGATTAGGCCGCATGTTCTTGACCGCCCCACCTGCAGCTTCTTCTGCTGAAACCTCTCGCAGAGCATCTTGGAAAGAGACATCTTCCTTGGCGAACAGCTTCTGCTGTAAGTCTCTGTTCCTCAGGCCGCACACAAAACGATCATGCAGTCTTTCCTCTAAGTCCTTGAAATCACACGGTTTAGCTGCTCTTCTCAAAGCTGCAGTGTATTCTTTTGCTGATTCCCCAGCTCGCTGATCCCTCTGTTCAAATGTGTGCCTCCAAGCAATGACAGATTGCTTGGGCTGGAAGTGTTCCTTTAAAACTTTCTTCAGATCGGAGTATGACACTGTTTCCAGCGAGGCCGGGGCGATTAGGTTCTCGGCGATTTCAAAGGCGTCTTGCCCACAAACGCACAACATTGTGGCAGCCTTTAAGCCTTCCTCCCTTATCTGGTTTACGCGGAAGTAAGTCTCGACTCTTGCAACGTAAGATTCCCAGCTCTCGGGGTGAGAGACATCGAATTCCGCTAAACGCCCAACTTTCGCCATGATCGAGGATCAGGGTCTTCTTCAGCCGCACGCACCCTCCAGCGATTTCGTACTGGCAGGATAAACGCTGACTTCAACGCCGTTTTTCCTCTTCCGGACTTCTTTGGGTGAGTCTTCAAGCTTCCCTAGCTGTATAGACTGGATCCCACCTTCGTCGCCAGTGTTAAGTCCGGAGAATAATGGCGCTTGAGACGATGCATTTCTAACAAGTCTTTATTCTCTGCTTCCAATCTACGAACAACCCGAGCAGAGGCACGCAGGCCTCTATTTATACCTTCTGATCCCCGGGGAAATCCAACCAATCACAAGGCGGTCTTTTCCCACCTTGCGCATGCGCGCAAGGCCGGCGCCACTCAGTCTGGTCCCGGGCAGCTTTTGCAAATGCCCGGGACTCTTGCAACATCCCGAGCCTGCTTTTGCCGGCTCAGGACACAACACTATCTATCTGTCTGTCTGTCTGTCTGTCTGTCTGTCTGTCTGTCTGTCTGTCTGTCTGTCTGTCTGTCTGTCTGTCTGTCTGTCTGTCTATCTATCTATTTTTGTTAAATTTATTTGCCGCCTATCTCACCGTGGGCTATTTGCCTTCTCTAAATTCCTCTTTCTTTATTCCTTTACTCCTTACTCTCTTTACTCCTTCTCAGGATTTTACTTTCCTATCTTCTAGCACAGGGGTCCCCAACCTTTAGACTCTTTTTCCTTCATGAAAAACATAATGGGCAATAAAATATTATACAATCTCTAAATTCAGACTGAACCACAAACTAATGCATGCGAAGCGATTGCAAGTATTCATTCTTGCTTAAGAAGTGCCTGTATGTATGAGATCAAAACCCAACCACTCTGATATACTTAGTGAAAATCCTCAGCACTCAGAAGCCAGATGGTGTTCAGTGAGAAATTGCTGAACATTCTCCCAGAGACCTGTGGCTGATCCTAAGTCCTTCATTCTAAAATTGGAATGGTGTCTAATGTAATATAAAGCAAAGCAGTTCTTGTTGCAAAAATAAATAAATAAAATAATTTATAAAGTATATAAAAATGACATAAGAGTTTATCTTCATTTGGAAGCATGTTCCTTTCATATTCTCGTGTTAAACAGTACGGAGTTAATACTGAACAGGACAGAATTATAAATGTGCCCAAAATACAGTTGGCAGTATCCTTCTTCCTTGACTGAAGTTCCTGGAGGTTACAACATCTAGAAAAGCACAGATTGCTCTGTCCCTGGTGGAATAACTCATGATTATTGGAAAATTGCCTTGGAATTAATTTGAATTTAAGATGAACCATAGCAAATATATAATGAGATGTAAATGCCTTCCCATGAGATCTCATAAGAGTTTGGCTTTTAATTTTTTTTATTTTTTTAATGTCTGAGATAACATACTCCGTCAAATCTGTGAAAAGATTGACAGTCTTGGTTAAAGCTGTCCCATTTCCCACTAAGAAATATTTAACAGGCCAATATGGAGACTGTAGCTCAGTACTAAACACACCTTTCTCTTTCTAAGGACTCCTTGGAAAATGAAAATGAAAAGAATGTAAAATTGCCAGCTAATATGAATGTATGGTCTGATTCATTAAGGAGACAAGGAAAAAAGGTATGCTAGTTAGTAACTTTAATATAGTGCTGCTGCAGTAGTTGACATGGAATAACTTTATTTTGATGATATAATAATTTAATTATTATATTGCATACTTTCCTGATTTGAGCAATTATATAAAGCACATATTCTGTTATATTGCAGATAAAAAGGAGATAAATCATCAAGGACACTAGCTTGCCTTAGACCAGTGTAAAGAGCTCTTCCTTTTCTTCTAGCAAATAATTATCTTTTTCTCCTCTCCAAAGTACACATGCAAAGTACTTTAAAGTACTTTTTATTAACCTATGAACACCCAATCTTCATTATCTAAGCCTTTAGCCTATTTAAGGGGTGTCAAACTGCCGGCCCACGGGCCGGGTGCATCATAGCAATAAATAATAATAAACTTTATTACGGTCATAGACCAGCAATAGCCATCACTTTTTACAATATATTAAATAATAATAATAATAGTAAAAATAGTACTAACATTAATAGTAAATAATAACATACATGTTCTCAAATAATAAAATACATGTTCTCAAAATGTTAGGGTCACTCCCTAGTTTACGTGAGTGGATAGCCGATTAATGTGTGAGTAAATATAATGTTCCAAACATTATTAGAGATATCTCCCGAAAATTGGCACAAATTGACGACTATAGGTCTGTAACCAATTTTTTTCTTGTGGACATTGCCGCAACACAGTATTTTGCCACTGCATGCGTGATAGAAGG